ATACAAAATTATGGCTTATCGGATCACTGGTTTTTAAAAAAAGAGCTTTTTGTGGGAATGCAGCAAGCATCTTTTGAGACCGTTCTTGTGTACACAGATAATGAATCTGAATTATAATACATAAAACTCAAAAGACATCTCATTTACTGCTTTCTCATTTACTTTCATTCATAAGACTGCGCTATATATCATGTAGGCTACAATAAGCACATAAAAGACGTTGCCTGTCGGTCTCATGAACTAGGCCTATGGAGCAGAATTAGACGCTTTACACAAAATTCAGCAAAAGAAGCTTATTATTAATAATGCAAACCTTACAACTGATCCAGTTTTCATCAACACATAATGCATGGTCTGATTTCATTCAGTTTAAGCAGAAATGTTAAGCTTGGTAAAAGGAATAATGGAAAGTGTGACTGGCTGAGGTACTTTACATGCTCTGATCGATCGCAGATTACGACATTAAAATGCTTTTTGAAATAGTGTACTGATGAAACCTCAGGCTAAACAGAAAACACAAATCACTTCCATACTTGCATTCATCCAGCACAAAGTTTCTCTATTGCACCTATTCAGTATCTAGAACCTGAAATACAGTTCCAGTTCTTTTCATACAGAACTCAATTTGTAGACCTAAAACAGATTTAAAGGAATAGTTCAGCCAAAAATGAAATATTGCTGAAAATTAACTCACACTCGGCCATCCAAGATGTATATGTGTTTGCTTCTTTCTTCATTGGAACAGATTTGGAGAAGTTTTGCATCACATGACTTGTTCACCAGTGGATCCTCTGCACTGAATGGGTGCCGTCAGAATGAGAGTTCAAACAGCTGATAAAAACATCATAATTCACACGATATTGTGAAGCAAAACGTTGATTGTTTGTAAGAAACAAATCCATTATTAAGGCATTTTAACTTTAAACCATTGCAATGACTCTCATTCTGACGGCACCCATTCACTACAGAGGATTCATTGGTGAGCGAGTGATGCAATGCTAAATTTCTCCAAATCTGTTCGGATGAAAAAACAAATTCATCTACATCTTGGACGGCTAGAGGGTGAGTTCGTTTTCAACAAATTTTCATTTTTGGCTTAACTATTCCCTTATCAGTACTTTTAATTATATTACGACCACACAAATCCATAAGGACTCATATGCAATCAAAAGCACTGCATTGGGACACATTACAAGATATTGATATTGAATTTTGACTCCATCTACTTTCATTTGTTTAATTACAAATGAAGTCACAGAAAGCAGCTTCATTAATCACGATTGTCAATTTGGAACTTAAAGTAATATGCTTTGAGATGAGCTGGCATTTATAAGAACTGTTTGGAAAAAAAAACATTTGAATTAAATGCTTAAACTCGTGAGCTGGCCTGCGTATATCCTTTGAATATTTCCAGGTAATAGAATTTATTCACAAAGTATACAGTATTATTTTAGAATATGCATTTCTGGGAAACTTAGAAAATATGTTATTCGTGAAATAAAGACTTGTTTTTCATTAAAAGGTTTACTGTTATGTTTTGTTTTTCAGCTATGTTGTTAATGGTCCATAATTAACACTGATGAATGAATAGAACTTGTTAATAATCAATGGCTGGTAAATTTATAAGTAACATGATTCTTGTTTGAGTTTAATTGTAATGATAATTCTGATGTGATGGGAGTGGCTCAAGTCAAAAATATATATACAACAACTGTTTGAAAGTTTGGGGTCAGTAAGATTTTTTTTTTTTTTTAAATAATACTTTTATTCAGTAAGGATGCGAATTAAGCAGCACAATGGTTTTCAACAATGATAATAATCAGAAATGTTTCTTGAGCAGCAAATCAGCATATTAGAATGATTTCTGAAGGACCATGTGACACTGAAGACTGGAGTAATGATGCTGAAAATTCAACTTTGCTTCACAAAAATAAATTACATTTTAAAATATATTCAAATAGAAAACAGTTATTTTAAATGTTAATAATATTTCACAATATCTTCCTGTACTTTTGATTAAATAAATGCAGCCTTGGTGAGACGTCTTTCAAAAACAAAACAAAATCTCACCGACCCCAAACTTTTGAACGGTAGTGTATAGATTCAGAGGATAATTTAATCAAATTCAAAATTTAAGATGAATCACATAACAGCAAAAAAATCATGAATAATGATAGTAGTTATATTTTTTGCCATAATTTTATGTAGCATGAAAAACATTGCATTGTTTTGTTTTGTTTAGTTTTTTATTTGAAAAGAAGAAACTCCTTGCCGAAAATTATACCGATTGTGTTTTTATAACTTTGATTTTGTGCCATTTTGTTCAGTTGTTTATTTTGAACGATTCACTCAAACAAACACTCCCGATAAAATGTTGGTTGCAATTTGCAATCCACATGTTTGTGACCACAGTCGTCTAAAACGGCTCCTTCCTGGGGTCAGGATTTAGCTTCTGAGCTCTTCGTTGGGGGCCTGGAGATAGAGGAAGGTCCCCTCCATTTCATTCCCCGCACCAGGGCCCCAGGAGCTCTGACAGATGATGGTGAGGAAGAGAAGGATGATGAAGAGGCTGCATTTTTATGGGTAACCCTGCAGCGGCTGCTTCTAAGGATAGCATGGAGTGAAAACTAATACCTGACCCGTATCTGCGTCTGTTTGCACGTGTCACGCTAGGGCGACAGCAACCCCACAGAGTGTGCCAATGTACAGCAGACCGTAAGAGTAGTGCACTAACAGCTTTAGTCCTTTACACTCATTGTGAAGAGTGTTGGCTGGTGAAAGTCTGATTGTTAATGCAGCCTGCATGTGTTTGTACTGAATGCAAACCACGCGACTGAATCAAATGTTAACTCAATGATGATCATATAATAGATCATAACAGAGAGCTGGCGCTCTACTGTAAATAAAAGCACCAATCATATACTGTTATTCATTTACATTGTAAATGTTGACATATTTCTCATTGAAACGGGAAGCAGCAGCTATTTTGTTCAAATGTTTTGAACAAAACAACTGTAAATTTATGGAAAAAAACGGAATTGTGTTTTGTGGTTTGATTTTTGTTCTACATTAACAGCAGTGAAATCAGGTGATATTTGTGTCGTTTTGAGGATGCTCTGATAATGAAGCTGTTTGTGTGTCTCTAGTTTAAACCTCCTCAGCAGCTAGGTGCTCTGTGTAAAAGCTAGTGTACTGTACTGTAAGTGACTGTAAGTGTTCTCTGATCCACCAGGAGGTGCTGTGTGATGATGACATGTCCTCTAATGATCCAAAAGACCCGAACCGCCCACGATTTACCCTGCAAGAGCTGCGTGACGTCCTGCATGAGCGCAATGAGCTGAAAGCTAAGGTCTTCATGCTACAAGAAGAAATTGCTTATTACAAAAGGTCAGCTGTCTTGATGTTTAACTTTAAGCCATGGAATAAAAAAAAAATTATTTCACAGTTCTGACTTTTTTTCTTGGAATTCTGAAGGGAAAAAATAAGAAATGTGATGTTTTAAACACAAAATTCTTAGGAGAAAAGTCAGAATTGTGAGATATAAACTCTGAATTCTAAGGAAAAGTCCAAACTGACGGATGTAATTTTAGAATTTTGAGAAAAAAGTCGCCTTTCCACACTGAGCGCGATGTGAAAAAGCGAGGCGAATCGCCGACGAACGTTGCTTTCACACTGAACGTGAAACGATTGTTTGCCTTCTGCTAATTCACGCCTGCACGCTAGGTGGCGCCGACCAACAATGCATTTTTCCTCAGATATGTATCTAGTAAATGGATTTAACATCATCCGCTGCTCAATATACAGCATTAAATTAAGATAAACAAAGTTTGGTTCTACACCAGAAACACAAATTATCTATAATGCTTACAAGAATAGGCTACATCCTAAAATATAATTAGAAGTACAATTAGCATCAAGCTACACTTGAAAATGTTTGTAATTATTAATGTATTTGCTTACCCACTTTAAACCATCACTTTGATGTTTGTTTACACTGGTTTTCGAAACAGCGCCACCACTCTCACCCTTTTGTGCAACAGCAGCTGCTCTGGTCACGTGATCCTAGCTAAAATCTTATTGGACGGCCCGTGATTTCGCTTTGCGTAACTGAAAAGATTTGTCGGACTGGTTCGAAAAAAAAAACATTTGCATTTTCGGTGCGCGAATGTTCGCGGTCTATGTGGAAGCATCCATAGAAATC